AACAACGGGTATTAAGTGTTTTATAATGTGTCAATATCATAGATGCAGAAAAATATGTTATAAGATCCAACACCCATTCATGACAAAAACATTCAATAAGATGGAAATTAAAGGAACTTTCCTCAATGTAGTCAAAGGCATTTACCACAAGCCCACAGCAAAAATATTAAATGAAGAAAAACTAAAAGTCTTCCCTCTAAGACAAGGTTGCCCACTCTAGCAACTTCTATGAAACATAATATTGAAATTACTTGTCATAACAATTAGACAAGGAAAAGATAGCAAGGCCTCCAGATAGGAAAGGAAGAAATCAAGCTCTCACTATTTGTGTATGACATGATATAGAAAATCCTAAAGACTCTACGAAAAAGCTCCTAGAATGAACAGATTTGCATAGTGAAACAGTAGACTACCAAATTAGAATACAAAAGTCCATAGCTTTCCTATATACAAATAATGAAAGAGAAATAAGAGATATGTTGCCAACTCTGGTACATTCCCCAGCAGCTCATATGGTCCCCCAACCCCATCAAGAGTGATTCCTGAGTGGAGAGCCTGAAATAAGCCCTGTGTACCACTGATGTGGCCCCAAAACAAAATCAAAACAAAAAATATGATTCACAATTATGCCTCAGAAAATCAGATACCTCGGAATCAGCTTAACTAAAGACACAAAGACCTATATATTAAAAAAAAAAAAAATCTACTCCAAAAGATAACAGAGGACACTAGGAAATGGAAACATGTTCCCTGCTCATGGATTGGAAGGATTAACATCACCAAAATGGCAATACTCCCCAAAGCATTGTATAGATTCAAAAGACTCCCTCATGTCATATTTAAAAGAATACTCATGTCATTTTTTAAAGAAATAAATCGCCGCCACCACAGAGCTTATTGGAAAGCCACGTATGAGCTGGCGGTGACGGGGCAACTGCAGCCTCATGGGATGGGGGGGGCGGAAAAGGCTCGTCCTTCACGTCCTACTGAGGCCATGAGTTGCCCCCCTCGAGTGGCTCTCCGGCACAGCCATGGCACCAGACACACAGAAATCAATCTCATAATTATCCAGAGAGCCCATCAGACTACCAAGAGTATCCCACCCGCACAGCAGGGCCTGGCAAGCTACCCGTGACATATTCGATATGCCAGAAACAGTAACAAGTCTCACAAAGGAGACATTACTGGTGCCCACTAGAGAATATCAATGAACAACAGGAGGACAGTGCTACAGTGCTTGTTTTTCACTAATTAGGCTTTTCATTTGGTTTTTTGTTTTGGGGACACAACTGGCTTACTCCTTGCTTTGTGCTGAGGAAAGACTCCTAGCAGGACTTAGGAAACTATAATGAGGTGCCTGAGATCAAACCCAGGTTGGCCATGTGCAATTCAAGCACTATACCTGCTGTTCTATAAGTCTAGCCCCAGAAATTAGGCTATTTTGGAAATAAACATTATTTTAATGCAAAATAGATGCTGCTAGAATTAAGAGTACATAATTTTTATTTAAGGCTTTCTTTTTTTTTTTTTTTTTTGCTTTTTGGGTCACACCTGGCAATGCACAGGGGTTACTCCTGGCTCTGCACTCAGGAATTACCCCTGGAGGTGCTCAGGGGACCATATGGGATGCTGGGAATCAAACCTGTGTCAGCCGCGTGCAAGGCAAATGCCCTACCCCCTGTGCTATCACTACAGCCCCACATTATCGTTTTTAAAACAATATTGACTTTCTACCAGTCTTTTGCTTTTCTGCCAATTAAAGCATTCTCAATGTATCACTGTACCATCTTCCAAGTGCTTTAACGTGAAGCAGCATTTATTTATCAAGCGGGCCTTAGGGGCTTTCCCAGACAACCCTGCTTCAAAATCCCAGAACACTGGCGGCTGGAGTACAGCAAGTAGGGCGTTTGCCTTGCACACGGCTGACCCAGGTTCGATTCCCAGCATCCCATATGGTCCCCTGAGCACCGCCAGGGGTAACTCCTGAGTGCAGAGCCAGGAGTAACCCCTATACATCACCGGGTGTGACCCAAAAAGGAGAAAAAAATAAAAAAGCGAGTAGGGCGTTTGCCTTGCACACGCCCAACCCAGGTTCGATTCCCAGCATCCCATATGGTCCCCAGAGCACCGCTAGGAGTAATACCTGAGTGCATGAACCAGGAATAACCCCTGTGTATCGCCGGGTGTGACCCAAAAAGGAGAAAAAAAAAATTCCAGAACAACATATGATCCCCTGGGCACTTTCAGGGGTCACGCCTCCTGACCACTAGACAGGAACAGACCCCGACCACTACTGGTTTTTTCAGGGGCCTCCCTCCCCACAAGCATTTAACTAAATGCTAAAGAGAAAACGTCATCAAAGTCAGATGCTCCTTCGAATGCAGATATCCTTCAACCAATTTTCTTTCAATAAATACAATTACTATTTTTTTGTAATGCAGGTATACTATTTATTCAGGCATTGATTAAGTTGACTGAAGTGGGTATGAACTCCACGGCAATTAGGCTTTTAATATACCTTTCAAAGTGTTTCAGGTTCATTTATTTTTGCCATTGTTTATTAAAATAAATGAAACACTTTCCTAGACTTCAGACGTACCTTTCTAATTCAATTAATTCAATGCATATAATCCTTTCCCACAATTCAAACATACTTTCCTTCTTAAAATCTCAAAATAAATTTATTTTTTAAAACAATCAAAAGTAGTTTTGCTCTTCAAGCCTATATTACCCCCCTGAATAGGTATTATGCTCACTTGTCTGTTTCCTTTTCATTTTTTTATATTTGCGGGGGTCGTGGGGCAGCGATGCTCAGGGGTTACTCCTGGCTCTGCACTCAGGAATCACTCCTGGTGGTGCTCAGGGGACCACATGGGCTGCTGGAGATCAAACCCGTGTCAACCACATGCAAGGTAAACGCCTACCCCGCTGTCCTCAGTCTGGCCCCACTGTCTCTATTTCTTTGCTTGTCATTTTCCATTCTGAAGAAGTCTGTGTTGTCTCTTGAACATGTACTTATGTACTTCTCCTTTTTCCTCCCCTCATATCTTTGTAAATAAGTTTCAATAACAATTTTCCTGCTTCACCAAAAGGAAAAAAGAGAGAGAGAGAAAGAGAAAAGTTAAAAGTAAAGTCAATGAATGCTATAAACTTAGCCTGCAGCCCTGCATGAAAGGCAGTCCAGCTTAAGACTCAGCAGTGAATTCCTGGAGACAGCAGTTTGCTGGCAATCTCTCTGGACCCCATGCCGAGCGGATCCCACCGGGGCACCTCAGATGGAGCAGGTGTCCCCTCTCCATCCACTCTGGATGAACCCCCAGTGGTCACAAACTTTCAGGAAAAAAACCCAGGTATGGGGCTGGAGCAATAGCATAGCGGGAAAGGCATCTGCCTTGCACGCAGCCAACCCGGTTTTGATTCCCAGCATCCCATATGGTCCCCCAACACTGCCAGGAGTAACTCCTGAGTGCAGAGCCAGGAGTAACACCTGTGCATCACTAGGTGTGACCCAAAAAGCAAAAAAAAAAAAAAAAAAAAAAACCACTCAGGTATGTGGGAACAGGCTCTGAAGACTCCCGGACACATGTTCATCCCTTCCTATCTCCCCACCCCTTTGGGATCCTGGTTGCCATGCCCACTAACTGCCTCTGGGCCACATTTAAGAGACTCTCCAATGAATCTCAAGATGGATTAGCTCCCTACAGAGATGTCTCTGAACCCCAATCATTTACATATTTAGAATTCCAGGAGCAAAGTGGCTGAGTGACCTCCCATGATATTCACAATAAACAATAGAAAATAAATTATCTAGAATCTGACTATGGCAGGCAGGCTTGAACAGTGGTGGGAAAATTCAAAATAATGGTGGTAGAAAGGTGTTAATGGTGGTGATTGGTGTTGAAATATTGAATGTAATCAATTAATGTGATCAACCTTATGAAAATAATTATTTTAATAAAAATAAATAAATGGGCTGGAGCAATAGCATAGCAGGTAGGGCATTTGCCTTGCACGCAGCTGACCCAGGTTAGATTTCTCCTTCCCTCTCGGAGAGCCCGACAAGCTACTGAGAGTATTCCGCCCGCACGGCAAAGCCTGACAAACTACCTGCGACGTATTTGATATGCCAAAAACAGTAACAACAAGTCTCACAATGGAGACGCTACTGGTGCCCACTCAAGCAAATCGATGAACAATGGGAGAACAGCGCTACAGTGCAAAAATAAATAAATAAAAGCTCCAGTTTAAAGTCTGCAGAGATGGACAGTGAGCAGGTCACTTGTCCAGTATGCAACCTACTTAGGGTCAATCCCCAGCACCTCATCTGATTCGCTCAGACTCACCAGGGGTACTCCCTAAGCATGGAGCCAGGTATGGCCCCAAAACATAAATACATATGTATGTATGTACACAAACACACATACATATACACACATACTCCATCTTTAAAAGGCCCAATCAATGCACGGTATGATCAGTAAAGCATTAACTTAAAAAGATTTTCCAAACACTTGTACACTTATTGAGACAACAAAGCTTAATAGAAAGAATACAGGTTTTGGAATCAAGAAACCAGAATTCATATACCCTGCTCCTGAACTCTCTTGTCTGTGAATATATGGGTAAGTTAAATGCTCCAAACCTCAATTCCCAGCTTTGTAAAACAGGAATGACAATACTTAACAGTGATAAAGAACAAATGAAAGATTAAATGCAAAGTACCAAAATAGACAGAGTGTAAATATTACAGTATATATACATGGTAGTTACTATATTTTTTTCATTTCTTTTTGGAGAAAAAATTTTATTTTGTGACAAGTTACTTAACTCTATTTCTAATTCAACTCAAAAAAACAAAAACCATGGAACAGGACATAGAACAGTGACTGTCTCTGGCAGTTCTCAGTTACAGGTTAAGAATGAAGCTAAAGAGATCCTCCTCCAGATCAAGCTTGGCTACCTGTGCCAAAGCAGCCCAGTGTCCAACTATATTCCCTTACCTTGCAGGCTACATCAACTAATCGCATCTGAACTGCTTGATTCTCCAGGAGTTTAGTGCCAATTGCAAGTAAAGTATCCAACAGCTGAGCTAGCACTTGATGAGACTCTAGAAAGAAGTAAAGTTGGATTGTAAAATTTCAAAAGATCAATGTACAAACTCTCCATCCCACAGCCACCACAGTTCAGCTTACTCATCGGCCTTGCTCTACAGATTCACAACTAAATGTCTGAGGAGATGCAAGCCATGCCACTAAAATTCATGCTCCATAGGTCTCCGAGCTGAAGGTCACCCTCGGGAGAGTGATGGGCAGCCACACCCACCATCTATGGCTGCTGCCACACCAATGGGCGACTGACTGCTTCCCTAATGATCTCTGCAGAGACACCAAACCATGAAAATTCCATGGACATCAGCTTTCAGGTTAAGAACTCTGGAGCCTTCTCCAAATGGGGGTGGGCAACTTCCTCCCTTGTCTTTACAGAAGCCCTGGCAGCTCTTCCCACACCCCACAGCCACTACCATGTCAACTCATCAGCCAATTCTACAGATCCTCAAGTTTCTGGAATGTGCATACCTCGAATTCCACAATAAAGACACCCCAGTAAATCGGAAATTAACAGAGAAGCCAATAAACTCAACAAATGAAACATAATACAGAAGCAAATAGCTTAGTAAATCCTCAGAGAGGACTTAACAACCCAGCGCTAAACAATACAATAACTTTCACAACTTTATTTTACTGAAGTATTTCTGATAATTCCATTAGCCATTCAATTGTAACAAGCAATAAAAAAATAATTACTGTGTGCATGTTAAGGGGGAAGTTTTGGGGAATAGTTGGGAAAATGGAGATAATAGTGGAGGGAAGGTCGCACTGGTGGTGGGATTGGTGTTGGAACACTGAGTACCCATAACAAGTGTATTGTGAACTTTGTAACCATGGTATTTAAATAAAGAAAATGTTGTTTGATTTTTAAAATAAACAACACTTTAGAAACTAAATTCACGTGGCTTAAGAATGTAAATTTTTTTCATCTAGTTTGTACTATTTAATCACTAATTCCAGTTAATTAATGCTAAGTTTCTAAGAAGCTTATGTCTAAAACTGACTTCTCTACAAACTGGGCAATAGTTCACGTAAATATTCAGTGCCTGGCTGATTCAAAGCCTTTTCTGCTTTCAAGATAAAGTCTAAGCTCCTTAGAAAAACATACCAACCCATTCAGGATATCTAAACATCTGTGCCTTTCTATCCTGATTTATGTTTTCTCACACAACTACTTAAGATTTCATGTCACCATCTATCTTTCTTTCTTTCTCCCTCCCTCCCACCCATTTTTAATTTGGGGCACACCAGTTATGCAGAGGGCTTACTCCTGGTTCCCAGCATCTTTTGTGTTCCCCTAGCACTGCCAGAAGTAATTCCTGAGCGCAGAGCCAGGAGTCACCTGAGCACCGCCGGATGTGACCCAAAAAAAGCACAAAAAAAAAAAAATGCTATCACCTAGAAACAAAGCTCCCATGTGAAGCTTCTCCTTCCCAAAATGAACTGACATTTGTGCTTCCACCACACTGGCTACATCTGTTGCACATCTACTTACTCTCATATAAGACAGGACACAAAAAGTCCCTGGGGCCAGAACAAAAAATTAGAAAGATGCTATTTTACTTGTTGGTATTTACTATATTATAAACACCAAATTATGAAGAAGACAGAGAAACTTGGAAAACACTGTTAATAGTAAGTATAAAACAAAAACCAGGGCCAGGAGAAAGCTCGAGTGCTAAGCACAGTAGAACATGTGCATGGAGAAAGCCCAAGTTCAAACCAGCACCACATGCTCTCCCAGGCACCTCTGGGAGCAAACACCAAGCGATTACCTTCACCAGGAATTGATTGTGTTGATCTGCCTCTGGCACTGCCACATTGTTTTATTGAAATTGTAGAAATTTGTTTATTTTGGGGGGCCACACCCTGTGATGCTCAGGGGTTACTCCTGGCTCTGTGCTGAGTTACTATTCCTGGTGATGCTTATGGGACCATATGGGATGCTGGGGATCAAATCCGGATCAGCTGTGCAAGGCAAATGTCCTACCCACTGTAATATCTCTCCACCCCAAAGTGGCAATATTTTAAAAGCTCACTATATTGGCATTTTAATAATGAGACTTCCATGGGTGGAGGATCAGGGAAGGTTGGGAAGTTGGGACCACATCTGGCAGTGCTCAGAACTTACTCCTGGATCTGCACTCTGGTATCACTCCTGTGGGCTCAGGGACTACATGGGGAACCAGGTATCAAACCTGTGTTGGCCATATGCAAAGTAAATGCCGCACCTGCTGAGACTTCCCTCTCTTAAAAGAAGAATGGGGGACAAGGCGAATCAGTGTAGATTGGCCTTGTCCCCCAGCACCCCAAATGATTTTCTAATCCTGCCAGGAGTAAGCTTTGAAACCCAAAAACAAACCAAAAAAAAAAAAAGGATGATATTTTCATCATTTCTTAGATATCACAAGTGAGTCAAAATTCAATATACGAGAAACGGGGAATAGGGTGGGAGCTTTCAGGCAGTGCTGAGGTGCTGGAGCCATTCTCAGTGATCCTGGGGTTCATGGTGCTCGACCTAACAATCCTGTGCACCTAGCACTGAACAGCTGTACATGAAATAGAAATTTAGACTTCCTGTGTACACTTGACTATAATTACTGTCATACATGCTTTTTGGCTGGAGCGATAGCACAGCGGTAGGGCGTTTGCCTTGCACGCAGCCAACATGGCCAACCCGAGTTCGATTCCTCCTCCCCTCTCGGAGAGCCCAGCAAGCTACCGAGAGTATCTCGCCCGCACGGCAGAGCCTGGCAAGCTCCCCGTGACGTATTCCATATACCAAACACAGTAACAACAAAGTCTCCAATGGAGACGTTACTGGGCCCGCTCGAGCAAATTGACGAACAACGGGAGGGCCTTTACCTTTTACCTTTACATTCTTTTTGGGGGGGACTGGGGGCCACATTTGGTGGTGCTCAGGGCTAACTCCTGGCTCTTGGGAAAGCTCAGGGGATGCTATGGGATATCAAGGATTGAGCTAGGGTCAGCCATAAACAAGGCAAGGACCCTACCCATTGTTCTATCGAGTTTAAGGCTTAAGACTAAATATTGTTTTGTTTTGTTTTTAATTTTATCTTCATAAAGCTGTTCATAATAATTTATTACATTCAATATTCCAACACCATGACACCTTCCCACCACCTAAATGCTGTTTACTGGACAGCCATATTTGACTAAGTTATATGTATCCCCAAAGAAATTAAGACTGTTCTTTAAAACTACAGGGCCAGGGTTCAATTCCCAGCATCCCATATGGTCCCTGAACATCCGCCAGGAGTGATTGCTGAGTGCAAAACCAGGTGTAACCCCTAAGCATTGCCCCCAAAAACAGACCAAAAAAACTATAGGGCCAAACTAGATGGCTCAGTGGGCTAGGGTGCACACTTTGATTACAGGTCTGATGCCCCAAACACAGACAGGATGGTTCCCCCCGACACAGTCCTGGAGTTCTACCAAATGAGAGCCAAAAACAAAACATTAAAACCAACCTAGTCAAAATTGATTTCTTTCTTTAAAAAAAAAAAAAAAAAACAGGGTCTTTTTCTTTTACTAATTTAAAATTAGGGCTGGGAAAGATAGTCCAGCAGGAAAGGCACTGGCCTTGCAAGTGGTTAAACAGGGCTGAATCCCTGACACCTCAGATGGTCCCCTGGAAACAAGAAAAAATCCCAAGGGGCCTGAGTGTAGAACCTGGAGTAAACCCTGAGCATCACTGGGTATGGCCAAAAAAAAAACCCAAAAACAAAAACAAAAACAAAAAAAATTGAGTAAACCCTAAGCACAACCAAGTATAGCTTCAAAATCAAATAAATAAATACTAAGATAATTAATGTACTAATTCTGTATGAAACATTTGGGGGAGAACTACAATCTGAGAATGAACCCAGCTACGGGGAAATACATGCTTTAGCCCTTTGAGCCCTAACTCCGATATAAAACAATTTTGCACTTACATCAAAGCAGATTAATCAGCATTTTAATCACTATTTTAAAGCTGTCGCCTAGTATTAAGTGGCAATAACTTTTTCTCAACCTGCAGTTGTTACCCATGGAGACAAAAAGTCTCCATGGAAGTCTTAAAAAGTAGAAACAGGAACAAGAGTCACATGTGGGAAGCCTCAGTTTGAGCCTGGCACCACAGGACTCTCCAAGCACAGACTGGGAGTGGCCCAAGCAACAGCCAGGTATGGCCCAAAGCAGACAAACAAAAACGATGACATCATGTTCACGTCACTCAAAAGTTAAGAATAATTTCAGTGAACAACAACAAAGAACAAATTTTAAAAACCAACAAACCTTGGGACTGGGGAAACAATTTTGTCCATGTGTTTGTGTGTGTCTGTGTGCGTCTGTGTGTGCGTGCAGGCCAGTGTACGTGACCTCTGTTTGTATGTATGTTTGTGCGCGTGCATGTGATCTCTGTTGTCCTGTGTGTGTGTGTGTGTGTGTGTGTGTGTGTGTGCCGGCATATGTGACCTCTGCTATCCTCTGTGTGTGTGTGCTAACATTTGTGACCTCTGTTGTCCTGTGTGAGGGGGAGAGGGGGTGTATGTGACCTCTGTTGTCCTGTGGGGGGAAGAGGGGTGTATGTGACCTCTGTTGTCCTCTGTGTGTGTGTGTGTGTGTGTGTGCGCGCGCGCGCGTGCACATGCACCGGCGTATGTAACTACTGTTTTCGTGTCTGTGTGTGCCAGCTTATGTGACCTCTGTTGCATGTGTATGTGTGTGTATGTATACCGGAGTATCCGACCTCTGTTGTTGTGTGTGTGTGTGTGTGTGTGTGTGTGTATGCACACGCCGGCATATGTGACCTCTGCTCTCCTGTCCTATCTGTGACTTCTGTGGTCCTTCTGTACCTGCATATTAACTCTGTTGTCCTCTGTACCTATGTGTGACCTTTGTTGTTCATCTGTGTGTGTGTGCAGTGGTGCTAGGGATAAAACCCAGGGTCACTTACATGCAAGACAAACAAGTGCTCCGCCAATGAGCTCCCTCCCAGTCAAGTTACTGCTTTCATAGCAACTAAATTACGACAGGCCACAGGACCACAATAGCACATTACAGGATCTCTAACCAACTCTGGCACAGTCAACAAATCTTTAGCCCTGATTCAAACTAAGTAGCCAAAAGTGTGGTCGCTTCTTTGAGCTTCAGTATTGGCCCCTGTAAGAGGCGAGGTTATCTACAGTGCAGAATGTGTAAACTATCTTGCATACAGAGCACTTACTTAGGTGAATAAATGACAGCTACTTAGAGACAAACCACATTTTAACTATAATGTAAGTATACATCCATGCCTTATTAAATCACCCTCAAATTATTTTTTCCCCTGGTTTGGAAACACACCCAGCAACACTCAGGGGTTATTCCTGGTCTGCTACCAGGAATTACCCCTGGCAGTGTTCAGAAGACCATATGGGGTGCCAGGGATTGAACCAGGTCTGGCCGCGTCTGAGGCAAAGGCCCTACCCACTGTACTATCAATCCGGTTTCTCAAATTGCTCCCTAATAGCAACCGACACAATTTTGTTCTGAATTCTACACAGAAGGAAAGACTACAGCACTTCCAAACCGCAACTTACTTTCATTCTGCAGGATGTTAATAGCATCATCCATAATGCAGTCTGGTGAAAATCCTGCAGTTTTTGATAATAAACCCAGCAAAGATGCAATTCTCAGTCTCACTGAAGGATCATTCTCCTGGAACAAAAAAAGCTTTCAGTTAACCATCATAAACATTGAAAACCAACATATCAGAAGAGATTCAATAGCCCAGTAAGATTTCAAAGCTCTCATTCTAAAAAATTAATTTTATATGGCATAAGGGACAGAGTTTTTCTCTAAGTGTTATGCTCTAAAGGGAATGAGAATTTCTTAGAATGCCTGCCCAAAGTCAGTAACTTCGAATGAGAAATGTGCCTCAGAAATCAAACCAACTCCTTCTCTGTGTAGTCACATTAGACAGAGTTCCAATGCTCTGTGGCATCAATACTGACAGCACCCAACGCTGCTTCCAGGATGAGTATCGGGCACCCAACGCTGCTTCCAGGAGAGTGCTGCGCCCACCCGGCTTCCAGGACAAGAGCGCTGTGCCCATGCTGCTTCCAGGACGAGGGCCATGCACCTATCCTGCTTCCAGGACAAGGGCCGTGCGCCCATCCTGCTTACAGGACAAGGGCCGTGCGCCCATCATGCTTCCAGGACAAGGGTCGTGCGCCCATCCTGCTTCCAGGACAAGGACCGTGCACCCATCCTGCTTCCAGGACGAGAGCGCTATACCCATCCTGCTTCCAGGACGAGAGAGCTGCGCCCATCCTGCTTCCAGGTCGAGCCCTGCAGGCCTCAAAGAGTAGTTCTGCAGGTGTCACTCCTATCCTAGAAAGACTGTTTCACTCTTGCTAAGAATCTGGGAAAGGAAAACACATCTTATGTCTGCACTCCAGACAGCAGAGAAAGGGACAATTAGTCATTTTTGTTTTGATCTCAGGAAGTGCTTCCCAATTTAGACATCGCCCTACCCTACAGATGAAAATAAATGTATATATAGATATATAAATTCGAATGAATTCACGTAATGAGATTTAAAGATGACCGCTGGACTAGAGCTGTTACCGACTGGATTCCACGGGATGTCAAAAGACCGCGTGGCCGCCCACCTACCAGATGGTCAGACTTCTTCATCAAGATCATGAACGATCGGTTTGAGGCCCTTCATGTTCCCGGAGTGAACAGATGCCATTGGGCTACACTAGCAGGCAACAGGGACAAATGGAGACGTTACTGGCGCCCGCTCGAGCAAATTGACGACTAACGGGAAGTTAAGTGATTATTAAGTGATAGATATATAAAATCACCCTATCTCCAAAATGTCATGCAATGGAGTCGAAGCAATCATACAGTGGGTAGGCACGTGTCTTGCAAACATCCAACCCAGTGATCCCATAGGGTCCCCTGAGCACCACCAGGAGTAATTCCTAAGTGCAAAGCCACGAATAACTCCTGAGAATTGTCTGGTGTGGCCCCGAAGCAAAAAAACTAAAAAGCATACACAGAAGCAGTCAAATGTTGGTCCCTTCCTTTCTCTGATCATCACCTTCTCATGTGAAGTGTAGGACCAACCTAACTGAACTCTATGAATATGCAACTCAGAAGGGCACCACCATAAAAGCAAAAACAGCCACATGGAAAGGAGCCCAAGAAATAGCTCGAGTTAGCAGCACTTGCCTTGCATGCAGCTGACCACAGTCCCACCCCCAGCATCACAAAGGGTCCCACAAAGGCCCAGAGATATGACCCCAGAGGACAGAGCCAAGGAATAAGCTGCCAGACGTGGCCCAAAACCAAAAGAAAACAAACAAAAAAACCATGAAAGAAATGATGCAACTGCCTATTTCATAACATGAAAAATTCCACAGAATAAGAGACCTGGTTCTAAAACAATAAATATACATGGTGAAGAACAACAAAAAAGTAGGGGGAGATGGTTGGGGATGCTGTAGGCTGCAAGACCCAAAGGGCAGATAAATCAACCAACACAACATGCTTCAAATGGCCCAAATGACAAGATACAGAGAAAGCTGAACACGAATGGACTGCAGAGGCTATAGCGGGTTACTAAAGTGTGACTCTTCAGTCTTCTTAAAAGTCTCTAGGGGCTGGCTGGAGCAAACCGGAATACCACCTGGTGTAGCCCAAAAGACAAAAACAAAAACCCCAGCCTCTAAGGGCTAGAGAGACAGAGCAGGCTTAAAGTACTTTCCTTGCATGAAGCAGGTCCCAGTTCCACCCCCAGCTTCACATATGGTTCCCTATGCCCCGCCAGGAGTGATTCCTGAGCACAAACCCAAGAGAAAGCCCTGAGCACTGATGGATGTGGCCCAAAACCCCAAAATACTGACTAATTTTAAAATTTTATAACACGATCACAATCATCCTGTTGTTCATCGATTGCCTCGAGCAGGCACCAGTAACGTCTCCTTCGTCCTAGCCCTGAGATTTTAAAAAGTGCCATATTCAAGGCTCTTTCAGGATTAGGAGAATGAGACCTATCATTGTTACTGGTATTTGGCATATTGGGTACACCACGGGGAGTTTGCCAGACTCTGCCGTGTGGGCAGGTTACATTCAGTAGCCTGCCAGGATGTCCAAAGTAGAATGAGATAATAAGGTGTCGCGCAGCTGCAAATGCGGCCACGCGCTTCTGGGAGCTAGGTTTTATAGTCTCTGGTTCTTGGCCGTTGATGGGATTACACGGCGCCAGGGGGAAGTTGGTGAGTGTGACCCCTGCCTACTGGAAGATGGAGGATCTGGGTGGAGGATGCTCAGCCCCGATCCGAGCAGGCTTGGAGATCTCAGTCCTGGGACCCGCATGCCTTTGTTCCTCTGCCGGTACCTTCACGCATGTGGAGAGCATGGTTGTGGCTGGTTCTGGTGTAATTCCATCAACGGCCAAGACCCAGAGACTATAAAACCCAGCTCCCGGAAGAGAACTGCACAGAGTCTCCTGCCCCCGCGTCTGGCTGTCCTCACTGGGGCCCCTTGGAGGGGGGCAGGTTGAGTTTCCCTCCCCGCCCCGAGCAGAGCTCCGGCAGCCGAAGACTTCCAAAATTTTATATATTAAACAGATAATTAATTGTTCAGTGAAATGACATGCACCTTGGGATTTTCTCTAACAACCCCAGAAAGTGGCAAAACACTGGTACTGTTGAAGCTGGAGGGAGGCTCATGCCATTCTTCCCTTTAGATTATGTCTGTGAATTTATACAAAGTCAACTTATGGTGGAAGTCAATATAGAAAGCATTAGTTTTATCTAGTATCAAACTGCAAACTGCAGACTAGTGTAAAAGCAGTATAAAAGTGAGGTGTACGTATATATCTAAACCACAGAGCCCGAACGACAACTTTAAAATGTGCCTGCCAAGGAGGCAGGCTAGCAAACGGGAGGAGCTTGACATTGGTAGAGGAAAGTTGCCACTGGTGGTGGGGTTAGTGCTGGGATGTCTGAAACTCTATTATGGACAACTTTGTAAGTTACAGTGCCTTGGGCTAGACCAACTAGCAGTGGGGAAGGCACTTGCATATGGCCTTGCATGAGGTCAGACCACGGTCGATCCCCGGCACCCCACAGCGTCCCCCGAGCACTGCCAGGAGTGATTCCTGAGTGCAGAGCCAGGTGTAACCCCTGAGTATCACTGTGTGGTATGAGAACAAAACAAAACAAATCACAGTGCCTTAACCTAACTATTAAAATTAAAATGCACTTATTTAATCAACAATTCCACAAGGAGGGCCGCTTACGTGCCAAGCATCACTGTAATGAAGGTGACGGTGAATAAATATAAAAAATAAAAAGAAGTAACTCCAGCCCTGTAAAGCTCACATTCAAGTGAATAAAGCTGGCAAAGACAGGAAGATCAACAGATGATGGAAGTAAGGCGGGAGGATGGAAGGAAGAAGCCAGAGAGAGGGATAGCATGCTTACTTTGCACACAGCTGACCTGGGTTTGATTCCTGGCATCCCATATGGTCTCCTGAGCCGCCGGGAATAATTCCTGAGTGCTGAGCCAGGAATAAACCCAGAACACAACCAGGTGTGCCCCCCCCCCAACACACACACACACACAACACCACCACAAAACAAAAAAAAAAGGTAATGAATAAAAGAATGAATTCTAGTAGTAAGAATTCTGAAGAATAGAAAGACTGAGGATAAAGAAACTCAGTGGCAGAGCACATGACTTGCACTGATGAGGAAGGAGAAGCAGAGGAGGAGGAGGGGAAAAAGGAAGAGAATGAATAGAGAAGAAAAAGGGAGGAGCAGGAGAAGAGAAGAAGGAGGAAGAAAAGGGAGAAGGTATGTAAGGGATTAAGAGTGGTCTGGGCAGGCTACTCTGCAATATGAGGAAAAGTCCATTCTGAGAACATGACTTTGAGTGGACACTTGATCAAACTGCAAAAATTGCTCAATCCTCTCCAGAGTATTATCTGGAGTTTTATGTAAAAAGTTTCCATTCCCAGAGGCAAGTCTCACTAGCTTATATAATTTTTATACTACTTAAATAAATTACAATTTACTATTGTGACTTTCTAAAGAGTTTAAATTTAAAATTCTACATAAGCATGGGACTGGGCCATAGCACAGCGGGTAGGGCATTTGTTTGCCTTGCACGTGCCAACCTGGGTTCGATTTCTCCTTCCCTGGGGGGGGGTGGCAAGCCCCGAGGGGCTCTCGGTTCTGGCGCCAAGCGCCCTACCGAACGCCAGTTGGGCACGACCCACTCTGGGGACAGTGCCAGGTGGGGAGTTTGACTGGGGCGGCACACCTGTCAACGGTAACACAGGTATCCTAAGGCGAGCTCAGGGAGGACAGAAACCTCCCTTGGAGCAGAAGGGCAAAAGCTCGCTTGATCTTGATTTTCAGTAGGAATACAGACCGTGAAAGCAGGGCCTCACGATTCTTCTGACCTTTGGGGTTTTAAGCAGGAGGTGTCAGAAATAAATAAATAAAAAGATTTTTAAAAAATGGCCAACAGGTGCCAGAAACATAAACTGCTGAGCCAGAGAGACTGCAAGGCAGGGCTTGCCTTGCCTCTGGCCAACCAGATTCAATACCCAGCACTGCATCCCCTGAGTCCTGCCAGGAGTGATCCTTGAGCACAGAGTCTGGAATAAGCCTCCAAGGTTACTCCTAAACCAAAAATAAGTAAGTAGTCATCAGGAAAATGTGACTCAGACATACATTAAGATGCTAGGGGAGCTGGAGCAATAGCACAGCAGGTAGGGAGTTTACCTTGCATGCAGCGGCCTGGCTTCGATTCCCAGTCAGCATCCCACATGGTCCCCCGAGCACCGCGAGGAGTGACCCCCTCCCACAAAAAAATTTTTAAAAAAAGATGCTGGCGAAGGGGACTGGAGCAATAGCACAGCATGTAGAGCGCTTGCCTTGCACGCAGCTGACCCGGGTTTGATTTGCAGAGCCTGGCAAGCTCTCCGTGGCATATTCAATATGCCGAAAACAGTAACAAGTCTCACAATGGAGACGGTTCTGGTGCCGACTCAAGCAAATCGATGAACAACAGGAGGACAGTGCTACAGTGCTGGCGATGCCTCAACAGATGGGAGTGAAGGCTTTGCACACAGGGCGCCCAAGCTCTATCCCTGGTCCATCAAGCACCACCAGGAGCAACCCCTGAGCCACAGATACCAAAAATGAAGCAAAACACCCCGGCATGCAGGGATACAATAACAAAGACAGTGATAAAGACCCTGGGGAAATCTCCATGACTCTTGAACTCTGTGCAATACCATACCATCCCAGGTAGATCAATCACCTGGCTGACAACTCCATGGCTTTTTGGAATAAAGGATGGGTGATTCCCCTCCTTTCCAGGTAAGTCTGTGAGTCTCCTGACCTCCACCATAGCTGTACTATCTCTCTGGCCCCACAATGGCTTCTTTAAAGGACAGGATAAACTTCTTAGCATGTGGCATTGAGGATAGCACTCACTCAAGATGCTTATGGTTGCCCTCTACTAGAATAAGGTATGTTTACTTCTAGTTTGCTAAGAGATTTTACACATTTCAATAATGAATTAACATCTCATTAATAATTAATGTGCTATGTCTTATTAGTCTTTCTTTTTGGTTTAATTTGGGGGCAACACCTGGCATGCTCAGGGGTTACTCCTGGCTCTGCATTCAGGAATTATTCCTATTGGGTCTCAGGGCTCTAGATGGGATGCCAGGGACTGAAGCCCGCTCGGCTGCATGTACGGCAACTGCACTACCTACTGTACTATCACTCCAGCCCCTTATTAGCCTTTTCAGCATTCCCTTTCTCAGGATAAGACACTCTCCATATTTATAGGCCTATTCAGAATTTCTCTTTTAAATTTTCTTAATTCTTTTCACTCTCATCAAATATTATAATTGCAGGCTTTATTGTGCGTTTCCAAAGAAAGTTGTGGGCTCATGCAGGGGACTCGAGTGTTCTGTGGCCAAGAACCATTCCTCTGGCCCACCCACAGTGACAGACAGACAAAGGACTGGGGAAACAGTGAAACACAAACCCAGGATTGTTAGCAGTCAGGTTATTTCTCTCTCCCCAGCATAGTTCTATCTCTCCCTTTACGGCATAACCGTAGTTTTGATCATAGTCTCAGTCATCATAGTTCCTTCATCCTAGTCTCCTTGTAGACCTCAAAGTCCTCTACTTCGAGTCATCATCATCATCTAGTCCCTACTTTCCCCTTACAGCATAGTTACACAGAAATCATGAAGGGTGGGTACACATAGGTGGGGTTGAAGAGTATCATAACAACAAACAGAGGTAAAGCCACTCCTTCAGCGGAACTTCTAGGAAATTAACTCAAGGACAAGATTTCATCTGAAGGTTCAGCAATCCAGATTACTAGGAGATGTGCTCAAGGGCGGGATTCCATCTAGGGTGTATTGCTTTGTCTTTTCCTCAGCTAGTCACTGTCACTGTCACTGTCCTGTCCTCTCGTTGTTCATCGATTTGCTCGAACGGGCCTAGTAACATTGTGAGACTTGTTACTGCGTTTGGCATATCGAATACGTCATGGGTAGCTTGCCAGGCTTTGCCGTGCGGGCGAGATAATCTCAGTAGCTTGCTGGACTCTCTGAGGGGTGGAGGAATTGAACCTGAGTTGGCCATGTCGGCCGCGTGCAAGGCAAACGCCGTACCCGCTGTGCTACCGTTCCAGCCCCATCCTCAGCTAGTAATCCATTTAAACAATCATAGTAAATTTACTTCTTATAATATTTCTAGTCATTTTGTATGAACACATAAGATAATGGTTGGCTCTTCCTGAGGACATCTAACTATATATCCCAAACCACAGTCCTCCGGCCAGATTTAGTCTTTCTTAACTCCAGCAGGGTCCTTATTCAGTTACTTCTTTTTGAGTCATGACAGACTTTGTCCATGACGGTGCTCTTTACTTATACTTACGGCACTTAGCTTGTCTCCTTTCGATGCCAGGGTAGCTTACAGCTTGCCCTGGGTCCATCCAGTCCCTTTGTCAGGACCCTGCTTTTGGAGTGCTAGGAACTAAGGGCACTATTGTGGGAGTAACTCCATAAACCTAAGCTCCCTGTGGGAGGAGCAAGGACAACCCAATGTTATCCAACACTTTACCTATTTCAAGTAATCTCTAAAATAATTAGTGAAGTATTTTCTTTTTGTTTGGGGGCCATACCCAGTAATGCTCAGTGGTTATCCTGGCTCTTAGGAATTAAAGCAAAGAATTTTAAAAGACAGTTTTATTAATAAGAGGGAGACAGAACAATTAACAGACCCAAGTACAAAACACAAGTTAGTATTTTAGATATGAGAATTGAAAACTTATTTATATAAATGACAGCAGACATTATATCATATTAAATGATTTTAAGATCTTTATATAGGTTAAAATTATATAGCAATCTTCACAAATTAACTTTCATTGATTTACTTTTTGATAACTGTTATTTTCCATACCGCTAAGTTTTCTTGGAGCAAGCAATACAAACTAAATTTATTTTGTGTCTGCTAAGGTTGGCAGTTATGGTGGAGAGGAAACTGGGGACACTGCAGCAGAGTGAAACCCCAGAGAGCACCCCAGCCCCTCCCATCATCGCAGCATGAACACGAGAGAAGCTGGAGGACAAAAAGTGCCAAGACTGAAGAGGACAAAAGTGGGTATAGGGCAGTGGGAAAGTTTCACCTCTGACTCGACTCAAGTCCAGGGATCTTGACTCCCTCAGATCACACATATACAAAAAGCATGACCCAGCCTGGAAAGCCACAAAATCAAGTGTGCAAGCAACACAGTTAAGCTTGCCAGGACAGGATCTGCATATTTTGTTTGGTTTAGACTTGGGTGTTGCACTTGGTGGTACTCAGGGACCACTCCTACCAGGAGATAGAAGCAGATTTGGCACATACCAGACAAGTGCCTCTCTATGCACTAGCTCTACAACACCTACATCATTTTTTTTCTTTTTTGGGTCACACCTGGCAACGCACAGTGGTTACTCCTGGCTCATGCTCTCAGGAATTACTCCTGGCTAGTGGTGCTCGAGGGACCACATAATATGCTGGGACTCAAACCCGGGTTGGCTGCATGCAAGGCAAACGCTGTACCCGCTGTGCTATTGCTCCAGCTCCCTGAATCATTTTATCTCTATATCTAGAGCAATTCTCACAGAGAAGACACTGAGTAAAAACGTATTTGACACATTCTATTTACTTAGCAATATTAACATATCTGGGGAGGGAGCGACAGCACAGTAGGTAAAGCACCGGCCTTGCACACAGCCAACCCAGGTTTGATCCCCGGCATCCCATATGGTCCCCTAAGCACAGCCAGGAGTGATTCCTGACTGTAGAGCCAGGAATAACCTCTGAGCATCATCAGATATGGCCCCGAAACAAAAACACACACAAAAAATATCAATACACCCTACAGATACGCTCAATTATCCATTCTGCTATCAAGTCTTCCAGATCTTCTTACCTTATAATAATGCTCCAAGAGAATTCTGACTACTCCCTCAACACTTTCAGCCTCAACAGGCTTCCGTGCAAATTGGAGCAGATATTGCAGGGCATCCGCTGGGGAGGAGGCTTTACACAGATCAATGTGCAGAGCCGCTGATTTACTGGGTTTTGTCAGGCGAAGTTTCTTAGCAGCAAGTTCCTCTTGCTGTTGCTACAAGGGAGTAAAAAAGACAAGACATGAAAACCAAACTAAAAATATGGCCTACCTATTCAACTCTGCCTCATTTGGTGGAACTAATTTTCCCATGGCAGAATCTCCTGCCCCCGCGCCTTGCTGTCCTCGCCGGGGCCCCTTGGCGGAGGGCAGGTTGAGTTTCCCTCCCTGCCTCGAGCAGAGCCTCGGCGGCCAAAGACCTCCGGAACCAGCCACAACCATGCTGAGACCATTCTCTACATGCTTGAAGGTACGAGCAGAGGAACAAAGGCATGCAGGTCCCGGGGATGAGATCTCCAAGCCTGTTCGGATCGGGGCTGAGCATCCTCCACCCAGATCTTCCATGTTCCAGTAGGCAGGGGTGACTCCCACCAACGGCGCACTGCGCCCCCACCCCCCCACCATGTAATCCCATCACCAGCCAAGACCCAGAGACTATAAAAACCCAGCTCCCGGAAGCTGGGAGTAATCTCATTCTTACTTTGGACAACCTGGCAGGCTACCAAATGTAACCTGCCAACACGGCAGAGTCTGACAAACTCCCTGTGGTGTACCCAATATGCCAAATACCAGTAACAATGATGGGTCTCATTCTCCTAACCCTGAAAGAGCCTTGAATGTGGCTCTTTTTAAAATCTCAGGGCAAGGACAAAGGAGACGTTACTGGTGCCTGCTCGAGGCAATCGACGAACCACAGGATGATCATGATCGTGAATTTTCCCATAAACTCATTAATAAGTTAAAAGGCCAGAGAGATAGTACAGTGGACAGGGTGCTTGCCTTGCACACAGCCAACCCAGATTCGATCCCTAGCATCCCATATGGTCCCCCGAGTACCACCAGGAGTAATTTTTAAGTGCAGAGCCAAGAGTAACCCCGGAGCACTACCAGATTTGGCTCAAAAAACAAAAAAACAAAAAACTGAGTTAGTAGTAGCAGGATGCTGGATACCCTACAGAGTGCCACTGATGGAACCGGGTTTGGCACATTGAACATGAGCATTATGAACAGGAAAGAGAACAATAAACTGAAGAAAAGACTCTGAATCCCAATTTTGTTTTTTTTACAAGCCATCAGGTCTTTAGCTAGTCAGTACACAGCTCAGCAGTGAAAGGACCGGCCTTGCCTGTCTGAGACATTGGTAGCCTGCATCACAAAAGTAAAAAGCAAAAGGAAGTCTGCAGTCCAGAACAGTAGAGCACAGCAGACAGGGCACCCATCTTGCACAGGTTTGATCCCCATCACCAACTATGCTCCCCTGAGCACTGCAAGGAGTGATCCCTGAGCCCAGAGTCAGGAGTAAGCCCTGAGCTATATGCTGGTCTTCAGCTAAGTCACAGTGATGGTTCTAATTTTTTTTTTTGTCTTTCATTTGTTTGTTTTTGGGGTCACCCGGCGATGCACAGTGGTTACTCCTGGCTCATGCACACAGGAATTACTCCTGGCAGTGCTCAGGGGACCATATGGGATGCTGGGAATCAAACCTGGGTCGGCTGCGTGCAAGGCAAACACCCTACCCGCTGTGCTATCGCTCCAGCCCCGGTTCTAAATTTTGGTCTCTCTCTATAACATCTATCTGCTACAGCTTCAGTGTTAAGAGATCACACAAAGGATCTCCTCCGTTCATTTCTGAAAAATAAATCCCAATTCTGCTAACACATTCAGATTTCTGGGGCATGCCCCGCTTGGCTTCCCTCCCGAGAAAACAGGAATCGATAGGCCCTGTACAGTTCACACTGAGAAAAAGGCTGCCCTCTCTCTGGCAGACCACCACAGGATTCTGCCTTTACTAAAGGAATGGTCAGTATGGGAAAAAATACTCTCCTTGGACCTAGCTGGCTTGAGCCAGTTAATATTTACTGAATGGCTGATTTACACTTGGGACTTTCTTGGAGAGTCATCTCAGATATTCTAAGAAATGATTATGTTCAGTTTTAGCTTTTGTAGAAAGGAATGGCACGAGATCCTCATCTGAGTTACGGAATTATCGGAACAATTATTTTCATAATTCTCTTTAGGACAGTCCGTAACCAGAACCACACTAGACACGTTCATCATGTGGTAAGAATAATAAGGTTTTGAGATCGAGGAACTGGGGTTCAGGTCTCACTATGCAGGGGAGGCCTTCCACAAAAGTGGGATGTAATGTGGGTTTTCACAAGGCTGGTGGAAACTGCAACGCCGTTACGCTGCGTGGGTCTAGCAGGCACCACATCCCCGTGGGTTCTCGTTCGCTCCCTGTGGTTCGCGGAGAGAAAACGAGGCCGGGATCCCTCCGTTCTGTGGTAGCACTGAACACAGAAGGCGGCCCCTGGGTCGGGATGCGAAGCACCCGCCGCGCACGCGTGACCGTGCGTCTGTGCCGCCAAAATCAAGCGCACTCCCCCAACACTCCGTGTGGCGCCGCGAACACAGGGTTCGGGGGCCGGGAGCCGGGAGCCCCGCGCGGCTGGCAGCGCCCGAGAAGCCGGCGGGCGGCAGGGCAGGCGCGCGCCTCCCCAGAGCATCCCAGCCCGGCCCCGAGCCCGGCGGCCCGCGAAAAGGTCGCGGCGGGGTGGGGCGGGCGGGGAGAGCGGGGCGGAGGCCCGCGGGCTCACCTGGACCACCTTGGTGAACTCTTCGTACACCCGCTTCTTCAGGTGCGCCGCCATGGCCGCCCGCGGAGAGGCGGGCCTGGGAGCCCCTCGCGGCTTCCGTGCTGCGCGCGCGCCAGGGAGGCCTGGAAAGCCCGTCCACGCGAGAGCAAGCACCGCAGTCCGCCAAGGCAGTAGAGTTGCGGGAAAGAGGAGCCGTATCCACAGCCCCTTCGGACCACCGGCACGGGAAAGGAAGCAAGGTGCTGAGGGGTGGGGCTAGGCCAGGCCAATGGAAGCGTCCGGAGGGGGCTCGAGGGCTCTGAATGGCCCAGAAGTGGAGACGGATCCGGAAGCGGAAGGAGCGGGGAAGCCCGGGTAGAGGGCGGGTCCTGGGACTTGGCTCCCTTGATGGGACTGCTCGTCAGTGTGTTCTAGTGGTGCTCTCTCCTTCTCCGTCATCTTTGCGAACATCCCGGCCTTGGAGAGACCGAAAGGAAGGAATGAGAAGTTGAGTTTTGAGTGTTGAGTTTTAACGTCCCGGAAGGGCCCTGAAAGCCCGTCACGGCTTGCAAACAGGAGCAGTGGGCTAGGAGCCTAAAGGAGGTGACCGATTATCTGCTTCTGGTAACCGCTTCTTTTCTGGCTCATGTAACAGGCATTTGCTTTGCTGTGCTTGCGTGGACATATAGGGCGCCAGATATGGCCTCAGTGAGCTAAATGATTTTGTGGGTGCTTAGGGGAGTGACCAGGCCACCAGGATGTGGTTTTTCCTAATAAAAGACCAATGCTGCTCTTGCCTGCCAGAACAGCCCGCCACCTGCTATCAATAAAGACTTCTCCAAATTATAATTTTTTTTTTTTGGTCTCCAGAAGTCTTTAGCTCACAACCCCACGATCTCCCCTGCAACCTTGTGCTAGCAGCTCATAAGCATTACGTCTCTTAAGAGACCTCTACTGGCTTCTGCAGAATGCAAACAATCTCGAGGTCTAAGGCCTTGCAGTAAAGCTTTGCACCATCCTTGGAGTCAATGGACAGCACCCGCAGATAATGTTTGCGCATAAAATTACAGGAACACCTAATCACAATCTTATGAGAGCAGAAAGGTGCTCACAGGCTGTAGTGTAGTTCTCTTGGGTCAAATCTGATATCCGCGCTAAATCTTAACTGGCTTGGTTTCCTTCTTTCAAAAGTGCTCCTCATGATGCACAGAGAGCCTCTGTCCAGTGAGTGAATGCAGAATTTAACCTATGGGATTTTTACAGCCAAGCCTGCCCCCACTGCTGCAATCCTAGAGATTAGAAACTATAGTAATTGGTTGAAACTTTCTTTACTATTGATGTAGACAGGCAGGCAGAGGGAATGGCAGTAAATTTCTTGGGAAGTAATAGCCCTGACCTCATGGAGAACTGGTGGGAGTGCCAGTCCATAACAGACCCTGAGGAGGCTGGACCCCTGACCAACAGAAGCTCGATCAGGAACAAAAGGCTGGGAAAGGAATTTTCCAACTCAACCTGGTTGACAACCTCCTTAGCAACGGACTTTGACCTAGATAGAAGCCCCCCTGTGGGGGTAGATTGGAGAAACCCTATAAAGGCCACCTTGAACAAAGGAAGTACACACATATGCTGCCTGAGCTCATGTGCTGCTTGTGCCCATATAGCCAAGCACATACAGTGCCTGAGCATATGTGTTGCCTGCATCACCCCTCTTGAGATGTGTACGTTCATGCTTTCATGTCTAATGCTGGGAAATGTGTAGGGCCTCCCTCCGCCCTTGGAAAAGCCCAGATTCTCTGGAGTTACTCTCCACTCTCCCACTTTCTCTTCTTCCTTCCCTTCAAAATCCCCAATAAAAACTAATTTCAGTGCTCGTTTACTGTTTACTCCTGAAATTTCTTTGTGCGAGACGGGACAAGAACCCAGTAACCCTGGCTCCGGTGGCAGAGGTGAATCGGGAAAGTGACTGTCTTTCTCCTCCCCACTTCACATGAGCCACCAGTGCGCCCACCAACATCATTGTTTCCTCTAGCAGCAATCACTATGTTTCATAGGAAAATGTTCATTTTCTCCCTCAGATCTAGGAGAGCTGATTATCTAACATCTCACTGGCTTAGGTTTGCAACAACCTGGCCATAATTTAGTTTGCGGAGGGAGGGGAGTGAAAAGTTCCAATCTGCCCACAGGACTATTTTTGCCCTGGGGACTGCCCTTTCTCAACCTCCATATCAGTTTTCTCCCAGCTACTCTTGATGGATCAGAATAGGAGCTGGAATAAATTGTTTGATCTGTGTGTATGTGAGTGTTTGTCCATGTGTGTGCACGTTTGATGTTTGAATATGTTTGTATTAAGTTTATCTGTATCAAACACTGGAATGTTAAAGCCAGGTTGAAATTGGAAGTAGAACTTCTCAGGTACAGACCTGGGCTAGTCAGTTTACAAATGGGGTAGACTGCATAATCACTGGAGGTAAGTGGTATGTGAGCCAAGAATTTAAAAATTCTAGGTGCTTTACTTATTTACTATAAATTTATTATACCAAAAGTAAGCTGAAAGTTTTCTAAACTGGCTACAAAGCCTATAAAGAAATTGAAAATCATTTTCTAAATATCCTATTGGGAAAAGTGAAATATTTTTAACATTTGAGATTCTTGAGCCTCAGAACCTGTACTGCTTAGAAAAAAATTTAGGAATTAGAGCTCAAAAGATAAAATAAGAGTTCTACAAATGACCTGCACGACTTTATTTTTCAGGCCTAAACTAATTTCAGTTAGAAATTAGACTGTTTTACAAATAGAGATGTAACTTCAGCAACATTTCCTCTGTGCAAAATTATCAGAGTTAAATCAAAAGAGCTTTGGGGCTTAGACAAGCTCCTTAAATGTCTTCTTTCACTTGTATCTAAAATTTTACAATTTACAGTAAGGACTGAAGTTTTCTATGTCTAAATGTATCTGATCGTCTTGCTTCTACATAAAATTATTAAAATTTCTGGCCCTAAGATACAGATTGAGAAAATTGTGATATGTATAAACTCCAGGAGGCCGGAGAAGAGGCCCAGGCGGCTCTCCCCGTCACCAGCCGGAATCAGGGTGGTCCTGGGCCTCTCCCCTAGCCGGGCAGCCCGGGTCATGGGGCAGACAGAGGAGGAAATGAGGGCCAAGCCGGTTGCCTTTTATTCCAGGTTGATCAGTTGCCATTTATTCCATTCTCTCCACATGCCTGTTCCAGTCTCTCTGAGCCTCCCATTCTAGTCTCACACTGCTCCTCATTCCCATCTCCTCCTGTCCTTCCACTCATCTCGCCGCACTCCATCTCGAGCCAGGGCTCTCTCTCTCCTTGTGCTTGCTCCTCATCCTTCTACATTCTTCTCCCTCTGTCCGCCTTGCTAATCTCTTGGCACTCCATCTTGCTACCCTGCTGTCTCTCCTCTCCTCTCTCCCAACAACTCTGTCCTCTCTCTCCAACTCCCTAGTCTTTCCAACTCCTCTGCATTCTGGGCCATGCCTCACCCAATCTGGTAGCAAAATCAATAAGAAAGCCCTTCCTGACTGCCAGCTCCAGGACTGAAACACCACCTAGGGATATTCCAAAGTTCTTCCTGAATTCCCAGGGGCAAAATTCCTCTTAAGGTGTTTTTCTACTTTCTTCAGTCTAATAACTCAATCAGCATCTTAATATTAGTTATTTTTGTTGGACACAGAGATAATTGAGGCTTGTAGGGCAGCTCTCCTGGGAACATCTTGCCACAGACTCAGACTACAGTGCTCAGGCCAGATTAATCATTCCTAACCCTATCAGGGTCTGAATCTAGTTATTACTTTTTGGATCATGATAGCATTTGTCCATGACCAAGCTCTTAACTATAGTTAAGCATTTTCTTTCTTCTGTAGGAGTACTGGTATTTATTCAGCCACTGATTAACTGATTGAATTGGGCATGAACTCCACTTTACTATTTTTTTCATTTTTTATAATTTTATTTATTGAATCACCGTGAGAACAGTTACAAAGCTTTCGCGTTTTAGTCTCGGTCATACAATGAAACACCCGTACCTTCACCAGTGCCCATTCTCCACCACCAAAAACCCCAGTGTACCCCCTTCCCACACCCTCCCCCTGCTTGTGGGGCAGATGATTTCCACATTACTCTCTCTCTACTTTGATTACATTAATATTTTGACACCAGGCCCACCATTATTATTCGGGATTTTACCCCAACACTCAGATCTGCTGAAAAGGCAACAGTAGACAATTTGTTTTCTATTGCTGGTTATGAATAATATATGATGTCGCATGGGTGCAGTAGTGGCTGTGCGATTTTGAAATTCCGAAAATTTAACACAAATCTAGAGGCATTTCTGCCAAAACCTGCTATGCTCCAAGATTTGTTCCTGAGTCTCTGGGATCATGGCCCTTAAGCAGCTTGATCAGGAGTCAGAAAGGCCGTTCATGGGCAGCGACCCGGGGTCTCGTTGGGACAGGGAGAAAAGGACGGGCTCCACCCGCATCCCATGAGGCCCCGTGTGTCTTGTCTTGTCACTGCGGGCCCAAACCTGACTGTCCAGTGGTTCTGGAGGATGGCAAAGCCTGGCAAGCTACCCGTGACGTATTGGATATGCCAAACACACTAACAAGTGTCACAATGGAAATGTTACTGGGCCTGCTCAAGCAAATCAATGAACAACGGGAGAACAGTGACAGTGACAGTGACTAAATGCAATAAACCAAACTGTTAAATAATAACTGGAAACATTTGGTCCCCTTAGTTTTTGACAATTTAGATTTTTTTTAATGATTCCAGGTTGAATGGATTAAGACTACTCCCAGATAAACTGTAGCCACCAATCTTAGTGAGATTGAGGATAGCCAACCTCTACCTGGAAGGACTTGTCTTTTACTTTCTAAGGACTCTTACCCCACACAGGTTGGGAGGGAGGGGATAGAAAGAGGGAATTCTGCTAAAGTAATTCTGGATGTAATTGGAATAAAAAGTTACAGGTGAAACTAAATACAACAAAATATGTAGAAAACTTGAGAGTTATAGTTTGACTTTTTTATTGCTTTTTGGGTCACGCCTAGTGATGCTCAGGGGTTATTCCTGGCTCTGTGCCCAGGTCGGCCATGTGCAAGGCAAATACCCTACCCACTGTACTATCACTGTGGCCCAAGAGTTATGGGTGTTTTTTGTAT